TCCTTGCCGCGGGCAGGCGGCGTTAGGTGCTGCCTGTAACGTGCAGGCTCTGTCTTTTACAGCCTGATCGTGTCTTCCAGGCCAAGCCCGCACGACCCAACGTCACACCCAATGGCGAACGCTCGTGTGATCCAGCACCCATATCGTCACACCCCTCCAAGGCGAGGAGAAATGGGCTGCTTCTGTTGAGGAATTATTGATTGCAAGGCAGGGGAGTTAATAATTTTCTTCCATGGACTGGATCCTATAATCAAGTCCCTGCGGGAGAGAATGATTAACAAGCTGGAGAGTTGGGCTTTTAAGGAAAATTTAAAGCTGACAGAACTAACCTGGCATAGCTTGGACGATAGCAGCCAAAGGGAAACACGATAAATAATTAGCAGGATTCGGAGGTGCAAATACCAGACAGAGAAAAGAAAAGTTTAGTATAGTAAACAAGGGAATAACTGGGACAAATGAGCCGAGATTTAAAAAGGAAATTAAAGGAAATAACTGGCTAAATATCAGCAGGTGTCTCTTGGCAGTAAGAGCTGCCTGACTGCGAACAGAGTTTCAACAGGGATGCTTGTTATCTGAGTCATTTCAAGGGCCGGAGGAGAAACTCTGGTGTGGTTTTCTACCTGTGGTTCACCTGGGGCTCTATGGATTGCTTCGATAGGAATGGAAGGCTTTTGCTAAGCTGAAATTTGCTGTACAAGGTCTACACCTCTTTAGAAGATCCCTGTATTGATCAAGTTTCATGCCCTGCTCTAGCAAACAGCACGCACAGAGTGTTTCAGGCCCACCCCACACATGCATCTTTCTCAACTTGAGTCTGCTTGGTCCTCTTCTCAGGCTTAATTTTCCGGCTTCGCTGCAGCAAGCATGGAGGGGATGTGCCCTGAGACTGTGTTGCCCGTCAGCCCTATTCCTCTGATTTTCCACTAGGGTGAACCAGGTTTTTATGCTCTTGTCATGCCTTTGGAATGACATCTGGAGAAGCCGGTCCTTAGCTTGTCTCTTGTCACACTGTTGTTCAGGTTAATGATATGTTGCAATATTTTGACATGTTCTATTTAGGGATCCAAGCTCAAAGGCTCGGCAGGCAGCAACATCTCTGAGTTACAGAAGGGACACTTCTGTTTAAAGAGAGGTGGAGTGCTTCTGCCTAAAAAGTTCCTTGGTAACAGCACTGGGAGTAAAATCCGTATCTTCTCACTTGTAGCCTCAAGCGCTAACTAATTGAGCATGTTACCTCCCACATAACTGTGTCAGAAGGAGAGATTTTGCTCTCCAATCTACCCGCTCTTTCCATCTGATTCACTCTGAGGGTAGAGACAGCACTTGGGACACCAGATCCAAAAGCTGTCTCTCGGGCAGAAGACTGCTGGATGCCACCGCAAGGACTGCGACACTTTAGATCCTGCCTTCCTCACTGCTTACTTGAAACAGAGGAGGTGGGGAATCCACACTTACGGTTCCTTTGTATTAACAAGCCATGCCTTTCAGCCCAAACATGGCGTGTGCAAACATAACTCTGCTCTTCCCACCTCCAGGGACTGCCTCATCTCCTGAACTGCACACGTCCTCCCACTTCAGCAGAGAACTGCTGCTCTCTGTGTCATCTCCTCTGTCCAGTGCATAAAGATGGCAGAGCTCACCCCCTTTGTCCTTGCTGTGTCACTTGGTGTTGCCAGGCTGAAGCAAGACAGGAGGTGATATTTGGCAGCCTTGGTATAACCTTGAGGGCCCCAAGGAAAGCTGGCACTTGGTGCTGTACCTGCTGCAGTCTGCTGTCCTTCAGCAATCTCACCTGACTTGCAGGCGTCGGAGGCGGAAGGTGCAGTCATGGTTTCCAGAACAGCATTACACCCTCGTATTGTCATCAAATTCCACTCTTCTAGGACGTCCTCTCTCTCTAAAATACTCTTTCAGCTTTTATTACGTCAGTCTACTGGACAGGATATTACTTCTCATCCGAAACTGCTTTGCTCTTCAGGTGCTGAGCAACTGCAGAGACAGATGTGCCTCTTTTGTTTCAGAGCTGCTCTACCAAGCTACTGATTTCTAGTATTAGGCATAAATTTGCACCTCCACCTGGGCTGCACTCCTGTGTCTCTGCCCTTCTCTTCAGAGGGAATTCAGTCCCCAGGACTCCTCCTGTGCTGTAAGCCACCAGTCTGCAAAATCCTAGTGGCGTGTTTTGATACAGTCAGGAGTTTGGTGCTCAGCTGCATTCACCCCAGCGAGCTGTCCGGGCCATGTCTGTATCTCAGCCCTCTCGCATGCCCCAGTGCATGGTCTCCAGCACAGCAGAAGGAGCCCCGTCCTATGCATGGCGGCCACCTGATTTGAGGGATGGTTTTAGCTGCCCAACCTCAGCTCTTCTCAAAGAGACTGAGCACCCCAGCTCAAGCACAGGATCACTTGTAGCAGGCACCCAAAGAGAGCAGTGAAAACATGGACATGGTCCATGGTCTTCTGGGAAGGACAGACAGAAAAGCTGTCCATCCGGCCGTCCGGTGCCTGGAGAGACAGTGGCACCCTGTGGTGAGACCCGTTCATCACAGCGTGTCACCTGGGCCTTGTCAGACAGCACCACCTTACGCAGGTCCTGGGCTGCCTGCCTTTAAGCCATGGTGGTCTCTAGTGGCCTACAGGTGGGGGCATTTCTGGGGGGTCCCTGTGTCTGTTTCACTCCGAGCACCAGCCAGCTCCCCGTCATGTGTCACAGAGACGAGGATGAGCCACTTCCCTATTTATATCGTGATGCTCCTGCTTTGCTATATTCGTACCAGGCTGAATCATCCAGCTGGACTCCTGGAAGAGGCATTTCAGGTCTATGATCGTCAGCTGCCTCTTCAGCCACTTTTGCTTCTGGTGTCTCCTGTTTCAGGGTTACTGTCCCACGTCTGACTGCAGCCAAGAGCAGAAATAGCCTGATACTAAATAGTGGTCAGAAACCCTTCAGAGAAGACAGATCTCCAAGGTCCAAGCTACCTACCATTATGAAAGAGCCTGTGGCCTGGAATGGAAGCGTTTCACCTCCTTG